TTCGCAGGACACTGGACCACCTACTCTAGTCTGACCAGTTCCTGACACATCACACTTGGGTCGTCAGACTCTGACGGCTCAGACCTGACAGCTATGACACCCCAGATCCAGACTTTGACTCCTGACCAGATCAGCAGCAGTCACCTTCAGAGGGTCAGAGAGAGAGAAGGTAGGGGACACACACATGCATGCAGGTTCAGGGAAAGGAGGTGCTTCTCTCTTTTTGAAGATACCGCCGATGATGCTCCACGACGCTCCGCACGCTCCGCACGCTCCGCACGCTCCAGGTAAGTAACTTCGTCACTTCTTCTTCGACCTGCTTCCCCCACTATCGCACACTTCTTCTCCTCCTCCCTCCTTCACTATCCTCCATCACCACTTCTTCTCGCCGGCCTTGATCAGATCAGCGCTATGAGAGTAGCGAGCATCTGCTCTGATACCAAAAATTGCATGGGTCCTGGGGACCATCTCACGCAAGTGTGTACATGCCATGCATCGTACTCCCACACACAATGAACAGTAGTCTGACAATAGACAAAGATAGAGAAGATGAGGACCGAGTTTCACAGTTTATATTATCAGAAATATGAATACAAAGTGTTTCAAAGTTCCCCTGAGTCCAGCGCTCATCAGCGCAACACCAATATCTTGCCAACTCATCAATATGCCTTCCAGTGAATCAATGCTACCCCTGCAGATAGTCTCCAAGTCATCAATGTGGTCACCACTCATCAGCGCCACCTCTGCAGGTCACATCCAACTCAGGTAAGTATCTTCCATAGCCAACCTTGAATGAACGCTCTCAGCCTCAATCCCTTCCTCCTATGATGCATACACACTCTTCAATACTCATGAGGATCTACTCTGGATACTACTCATAGCTACATWCTAACCCTCTACTACTAATGCTAACTCGCTGGGCAGCTATGGCTGCATCACTTCCAGYGTACAAGCATCTTCCTCCCTCCAGCGCGTCTTCTCCTCCAGCGCTGCTCCTCCTGACTCAGCGCACAAGTGCACCAGCACTTCCACGCATTGCAGCCAGTGGAGATCTGGCGAGGAATGAGGCAGGCAGCTCTTTTTATAGTGCTGGCCACTCCTCGCTGGGTCTGCATTGGCTCAATTCAGCCTCTCCCTTTGTCCCAGACCCTGCATTGCATGTGTCCCAGTACAGTCCCAATGAGATTCAACTGCTGCTGAGGCACTTCGGCCTGGATTTGGACTTGAAAGTCTGGATCTGGACTGACCCCTTGACTTAGACCAGAACTGGGACTGTGCCTACTGACTTCACTTTCGGACAGGCACAACTCTAAACAAACAGACACATTTACTACTTGAACAGGCACTGTCCATCGCACAAGCAGGTACACTGCCTACACGTACAGACACACCCTTACTCGAACAGACATGACATACACATCTCCTGGTGAACAGGTAAGTCTTTTGACAATGCCCTTTGCCTTAGATTTAGATGTGCCTGTTGATAGAGAACTTGACTTTTGACCTGTTTTCACGTTTCTGAGTCCTGGCAAGATACCTTTTCACAATGCTTTACTTTTACAAGGCCCGTGCTGCTCTATTTTTACAAGGCCTGAGGCCTATATCGGGTAAAGGCCCTTTTACTGCAATCCGCTGTGCTCCATCTGGTTGATGGTGGTGTACTTCTATTGTTGTTCTTCGTAATGCTGTAGTTGGATCCCATTCAGTGGGGTGATGCACGTAGCACACGGTTTCTTCATGCAGCCCACGTGCAGAGGAATGAGTGCACAGTTATGTAATTTGCAGCCCACTTGGTATGAGAATAATTGCTGCCAAACTGTAGTTAGGTGTAGGAATAATGTGGTGGGGCCACCCTTGTCCCAAGTATGATCATAAGTTGCGCACTCAGGTAGTAGGGTATGGCATGAATTGAGAAGTACCAAAGCTCGGTCCGCCTCCGTCCTGGGTATGCAAATAATTTTCACTGGCTGTTTCTTGGTTGTAGATGCAAGATGGACATTGGGCCTGGGTACAAGGTGCAATTCCCATCTTTCGAAAGGAGTACAGGTGCAAGATGGACACTGCGCCTGGGTATAGGGGCAATTCCCAAAAAGTGAAAGGATCAACAAGAAGATCTGAAAAAGTGTGATCCAGTGTGTAAATGTCTCAACTGGCCTCTGTCAGGGAATCTGTGGATGGCAGCACTCATTGTGTGGACCAGGTACCTGGCTGCTGCATGTTTACAGATATATTCTCTCAAAGCAAGTTGAGACGGTTATGGACTCGTACGGGCTACCTCCGAGCATAACCCTATTGCCCATCCAGAAGACAAAAGAATGCCTGATCTTTTGGTCCGCAAAAGAAAAGAACCTTTCCATGGGACCTCACCCCTGGGGCAAGGATCCATGGACTTACTGGGAGAGCATGGGTATGCAGCCTGTAGGCTGTTTTGTGGTCTCGCATGCTGAGGGATGTGGCGGTGGAGGGTGGCTATGCCCCTCGCCCCCTGACACCCGTCAATTATTTTGTTTAGCACACTGTGTCTTTCCTGCTTCACGCATATGTGTTGCCAAGGGGGGATATCATCAGAAGGTGGTGTTGTGTGGTCTTGCATGGTGAGGGGTGCTTGTGAGGCAGGAAAAGGGCAAGTTAGCCATGGAAGGAGGTGGGGGAGCCTTCGTGCTTTTTTGTTTTGAGAATGCATACATACTAAATGTCACGGCATAGGGAGATGATATAAGAAGATGCTGTGGGGTGGCCGGCTACGCCCCTGCACACCCCACACCCTTCCTCTCCCCTCCCAGTCTCCTGTTTTTTGAAGGCCATCCCCTTGGCAAGGCGTCATGACGCAAAATGTTGTGTTGGGGGAGGGCCCCCTCAACTACTCAGCTTACTGTTCTGTTGCACCCCCACTGTGGCATACTGCGTAGCCACACGGGCCCTGCAGGGCCCGTCCCGGTCGTTTCAGCCAGAAAGCTGAAAAACGAGGGCCTGCAGGCCCTACTCCGTTTCAGCCTATTTCTGGGTCTTTCAGACCCAGAGTCTTTCCAGCCTGAAACGGAGGGCCATTTTCAGGCCCTCATTGTTTCGACCTGCCCCTAAGATGCCAGAAATAGCCTGTTCCTCACTTGCTCGAGCAGGAGCTGCAGCTGCAGCCCCTGCCT